CTGTGGCTGGTCCCCTGTGGCTGGTCCCCTGCGGCTGGTATGCGGCCTGTCTTCCAAGGCAGTGCTGCGAGCGTTCCCCACTCTGTACAGCAAAAATCCTTCGTGGCAGAGCCGAGCCACCACCTTTTCCATCGATGTGATGCAAATGTGCTGCAAAACACCTCCTTAAAATCTTTGAGCACCTGTCCCAGGCAGATGCACTGATGTCTGTGTTCTCACCTTTTTCCCGGTGGTCTAAGTATCTGTTGCTGTTCCAGCACCACGCTGCCTTGGTTCCATGCCTGCAGACTGGCTCTTCAGGTCAGGGAGTGTCAACCCATCAATACCATTAGCTGTCAGAGGGGAACCAGTTCTCCTTCTCCCACCTGGAGGAACGCAGGGTGAAAAGAATGAGTGTCACTTACTGTCCAGTGAGATCTCTCTCACTCAGCGTGACCTCTTGCACAACTCCTGGTCGCCAGCAGGCTCGAGTCCATGGTCACCTTCTAGCCAGTGGGGCTTGTCTGTCAGCACGAGATGAAGTAGAGTTCTGCTGTGATCCACAGTGACCCACTGTCAGAGGCGAGTCTCTCAGTCCTTCTTCCTTGTCCATCTTAATCTAGTTGCCTTCCTGACATCAGTTAACTTAGGAGTTGTTGTTGTTTGTTGTTGGTAGGTGTCCTCAAGTCGAGCACGACTCATAGCGACCCTCTGAACAAATAATCTGAATCCTACGCCCTCGTCATGCTTCCTGACACACAAGAGCCCGTTGCCGCAGTCACCGTGTCCATGTCAATCCACCGGGGGACTCTCCCAATATTTGACAAGCTAAGGGCCCAGCTTCTGCGTCTTAGCAATGTGCCCTTAATTACCGTGTCCAACTAACAAAGAAGTGATTGATGGTGTGGTATTTACAGAGATCTAGAAATTGTAGTGGTGGGGTGTTTTGTTTTGTTTTGTTTCAAGCCAGAGCTAGCTTGGCAAAAACATTCATTGACTATTTTCCACACAAACAATCCGTTTGAGGCAGCGCCATGGAAGTTGAGAAGCTGCCCGCAGTAGGGGAAGCCAGACCTTCCGATCGCAAGTAGACCAGTTCCTCTTGTCAGTCTTCAAATGATCCTTCATTGGCAGCAGGTGACGCTGGGCGGGACCAAGGGCTGATAAATTTGCCTGCTAGTTGGAAGGTTGAAGTTGAGTTTCCCCTGAGGCACCAAGGAAGAAAGAGCCGGCAATCTGTGTCTGAAAAGTCAGCTGCCGACAGGCGGTCCGTTTCTGCTCTGACCCAGGAGGCTCGGATGAGACAGGGTTAGATTGACGGTGACCACGGTGTGGCTTGGGGGGGTTTCCACTCTGATAGGAGGTAAGGCGCTTATACAGACAGACGTCCTGGGGAATCTTCTACCAGCTGCAGCACGAACTACCCAGAGCAGCTGCTTCCAGTAATCACTGTTGAGGTTAAATAGCCGAGGATAAACAGTTTCACATTGCCTGCATATTGGAGCCCTGGCCAGGCCGTATAAAGCAAGGGAGACTGATGGTCACTGAGTCGTCGGGGCTGCCAGCCTGTGTCTCATCAGCTGATCTTTGAAGGGGGGCAGCAAGGAGGACAAGTGGGGGTAAGTCTTCGCATGGAAACCTTTCTTGTTCCTACTACTCACAGTCATTCTGTACAAGGAAGGGGAAACTCAGAAGGCTCCATTCTTGTCACTGGCAAGGTTCTGGGAAGCATTCAGCTTTGCAAAGGGAATTGAGTCCTTGGTATTTATTTTGTTGTTGTGTTGTTATGTGCCACGGAGTCACCTGTGACTCACAGCGACCCTATGTACAACACCCCTAAACCGTGCTCTGTCCTGAGCCAGTCTCACTGTCTCTGACACACCCACCCTGATTACCCCAGTCACTGA